CTTACTATTTATGTTTAAATCTAATATAATCAACATGACTGAAACGGTATGGGTTTCTCAATAAATCAAAATAATTTCCCTTTGTTTGCTTTACCCATGAACCGCTAATATCACTAATCAACACCACAGAAGGGATATATTGATGGTGAGTGACTCATAATTGTGAGTACAGAATAAATTTGCAACTATAAAATCACTTTCAATCATTTTTCTGCATGTTTATGCACTTTACAGATTTTATTGTTATGTATAAATATTCAGCTGTAGATCGCAAATCAAACTGGAATAAATTAACAATCATCGTCTACAATGATTAGGTGCCTAGGTTTAAATTATCATCATTATTTTGCTTATTTAATTGTATCATTCTAACTACAGATATAATTCGACGTTCACTCTTTCAATAATTTGATAAACTAGTCAAACAATTTTACTACATGTGTAGTATTGAACTATTTATTTACACTTCAACTTGTAGCAGAATATATCCAGCAGAAAAAGGTGAGATTCTTAAAACAAATGATTGTGTAAAGTTATTATTGTAAATTTCAATTTTAAATAAAACACTATGGATGTCTGACATAAGTTGGTGAACACCGAATTCTATCTGTCTATTTGCTAAATGAATAGGTAAATTATTAATACTAGGTTGAACTATGAATCGAATGAGTGTAATAACATTTACGCTAAACGTTAAGAGTAATACAAAGGTAACTATAGGAATCCAAATACAAATAAAAATGTCAATCGGTTTCAATCACACAAATTACTCATTGAGTTAACCAACGGTGTCTAATATTACTACTACTAATGAAATATGTGAATTGTACGCTATGTAAACTGATAGGATTTCTTCCATTTTGAGATATATCTGTAGGTTCTAAAGTTCTATGGAAATTTATGATCGAATTTAGATACTATCTAAAACCTGCTGTATGATAGGGTGCCTTCAGTTCGTGTGAAAGACAGAATCAGTGCGATGACTTGAGCACATCAAGATCCTTAAAAATTGATAAAGTTAGACTAACAGATTAAAGTGCGTCCATGTATAGTTTTTAACAGCACAAGAAGTAGGTTTTCAATAATATCTGGACTATACTAAACAATAGTCACTTCAAATGATTAAAGTGACTCATGGCCAATTCTCCAATCCTGGCACAGCAAATGCTTAACCACAATTCTAAGTGGATAATACAATACATTATGATAACATTTTCATTAACCCGTAATTATACACTTGTGTTTAATGTTATAAGATATTTAAAAGAATACGGGGGCATTTTTTCAGGGCATGTTTCTAAACTATCAAAAAAACGAAAGTAGTACACAAAAGAATTAAGTGTAACCCATTTACAAATAATTACAACATGATGAACTGTATTAATAACATAATGGTGTATTTGTGATATATTCCAGTGAGTGGAGATTTGAATTTCTCACGTTTAACGATTTAGTGTAAGCCAATTCTTCTGAGTAAATAGATCAACAAATAAATAACCGAATCAATTCGGTAATTAGCACTCGAACAAATTATTCATTAAAATTGGTGGTGGTTAACACGAAATAAAAATTTAGGAGGAAGTGTTACAAGGTCAGTAGTAAATTAATATTTAATTAAATATTTTTATTGTTTCATTTGACCAAACTGATATGTTCAAATATAACAACCATAAAAGCATTCCTAAAACAAAACGTTGATAACATAAATAACCCTTAGTAAACCGAAGGTGGATCCATGAATATAATAAACAAAAGCCTTACCTGAAGGTGACCAACGAACAACATTGACAGGTTTCTCATGACGTTTTAATGAAGCTAAATAAGTTAAATGTTCCAATTGTTTAAAATCAGTTTTCTGCGTTGCACCAGCCGTTGTTGTAACACCAAGATCTTTCTTAGTTCCCGTTGCATTAGTGGTGGGTTGAGATTCAGCATGCTTTGTTGTTACAGTTGTTTTCAAAACTCCAGGTAACCAATTCAACTGAACACGCCATAAACGAACAACATTATCGCCACCGGCTGTTGCCAATCTTGTCCAATTTAAATCAGGATCAAGATCTTTAACACTTTTCAGATTTAGTTCACTTAAAGGACTACGATTAGACTTTGGATTGCTACATTTATTACTGTAATTATCATTGGTTAGGTTGGGACGATTTTGTAAATCACACGAATAGATCGGTAGTGTCTCATGCCAAGCTATCTCAGGAGTTAAAAAACGCATCTGAAGTTAACAGATATAGTTCTGTAAAAGTATAAAACATAGTAATAACAATGTTAGTAATATGAAGATTGCAACATAAGAAAAGAGTGGATGATTTTTGAAATTCTCATCAACAGAAGAAGTTGTCATTTGTCATCGATTTGTATTCTTCTTAAAATCTTCCAGACTTTATCGAAACGCTTAATCAGCGTGAGAAGATAAACCCGAAATTTTTTGAATATCTTCAAGACTTTCTCTAAAAATGTGATGTACTTCAGTTTTCGTACAGGTAATACTGTTTTAAATAATTTAAATTAATGTCCAATCATATAAAACAAATCCATAAATTTACACTTATTTAGTTATTTATTTCCAACAGAATTGTGCTAATTGTTTATACTTGAAAAAAAATAGGCTAAATACAATCACAGTGAATACTCTGAATAAAAGCAGTAATTCAGTTGACTAGACTGTGAACATTGATGAAGGAAAATTGAACACCCTGTTCTCCTATGCATTTTCACTCTATGCTATTCGTCCTTGTGATAACATGTGACAACCTTAAAACTGAAAAACTATTGTGCTAGATGCTGCGTTGCAAACATCTGTCTAATGCAAAAAGGAAAACTAACCGATGACTTATTTAACTAAACAAATTTTAATAAACATTAAGTCGAAGAAAAGTGGTCACTTTCTTTTCTTTAAACAAATATCAACAAGGTGGGAAAATAACCTAAACATTACGAAGAATAATAGGATTGATTACATAGGTAAGCAATATGGTATATCAACCAACTTAATTCCTAGTTCTATATATATATATATATATATATATATATATATATATATATATATCAATAATGATTTATGTTTCAGATGATATATATAATTTTAATGCATCTATAACTTCCGTTCATTTTCTAAGATATCACTTTAAACAAACAGTAATATGATATTGTTATGGCCTAGGGTAAATACTGGATAGAAAACTCCACAGAAAAATTTCATCATGTGATCGCAAATCACTGAGTCAATAAAAAAGAACAAAGAAGCATAAAATCCATAGTACAAATGAATTGGAAGTATAATATTTAAGTGTGAAATAAATTCGTGTTAATAACTTATATCACAGATCAAATTTATTTGACTGAAAATTGTGTAACTACTAAGGTAGATGTTGATTTATCCAGAAACCTACGGAAGTAGCAAATAAATACGATAATAATATGAGAATCAAGATTATTTGACATAATGAACATTCACTATTGGTTGAAAGTTGGTATGCTAACCATTCTGATTTACAAATAATTTAAATAAGCCTCAAAAAATAGATGAACATTTGCTTTTTGGTTAAAGTATACGATTTTCAATTAGTAGATCATGCGTTTGTAACGTGATCGGTTAACTACAGTTTAGACGATTCCTATAGCTACATGATTTTTTTACTTACAAAAATAGTCACGGTATTGTTATTAGAATTACTGAAAGCCGTATTAGTTAAATTTACCAGAAATATGATGAAAATTACAAACCAAAAGAAATAAATGTCCCAACAAGAAATGATAAATTTTATCGTTTGTCATTGTTAAACTCGGTACTTTCTATAATAAATCTTATGAAGAAGTGCATATCCAATTACATTTCGGAAATAAATTTCATAAGTTCTACTGAATAAAATTGAATCATCTTGTTACAAAGATATATTGTTAGTACACGAATAACAGGTTCCATCAAATAGAATTTCTGGTAAACAGAACACAATGACATTGCAAAAACACCACATATGATACGAGCAACTAGTTACATGCTGATTTGTATTGAAGAGTTATTCACTTACGAGATAATGAATTCTGTAGGAACTAAGATCGCTTACCAAACTATGGTTCACAACAGGTCGCACCCGAGAGTTTGTTTTCATTTGTGGAATAACAATTGTTAATTTAGTATTTAGACAAATAATAATGCCAATCTATTCAAAACTAATGAGTGAAAAACTCACAAATTTACCAATGTTGCATTATTCAGGAAAACCTGGTCGATATATCGATTTGGATTAGATTTAACATAATGTGAAAAACACTAGTATTATAACGAATAGTAAGTGTCAGTGACTGGACTAGTGTATGAAATTGATACATTATATGGTGATCTATACAACACATACTCACTGCATATAAAGATGTAGGACAGTAAACTTCTAGCCCAATAACATTCAAAAAGTAGGATGTACTAGATGTGTGCTTTTAAAGATTTAGAATTCTTCAGCTGGGTGAACCTCTATGCTAACATTAGGGTTCATACTGAGACCCAAACCTAGTACCTTTAGCTTCACATGAAACACTTTATCCACTGAGTCCGGATAGTCATCAACTTATTCGACAGATGCGAATTCGGGGTTGAAACTAAAAGTACGTCTCCACCTTTAACACTATGAAAAATTCAAGTAATCACTTCTACACTAATTAGATAGGAAGAATATGCATATTGAAATGTTCAGTGTATATCCTACTAAGAAGCCGACTGTAAATAAACCTGCTTAACTTGTACATTGAATATACTAAATGAAGAAGAAAACTCCAAATAAGATTTTAAAAAAGAAATTCAAATGAAGAAAAGAGTTCAGACTGTTGAAAAGCGCGCTTGTCTGCCCATTTATTTATAGGGCAAATTAATTATTCTAAACAAGTGCTGAACAAAATGACATTACGATACACATAATGAAATGGTAAACGCACAATCACATACACATCCACAGACATACACAAACACGCACAAATGTAGAGGTTTTAAAACAAAGTCATCACAATAAATTATTATTATTATGGATGATACTAATTATTCATTTGGATATGAATTTTACTCCGTTTTTTGTTTAAAAATGTTAAATAAACAACAGGTCATTATTTATGTAAGCAGATATCATTCAGAAAGTTGAATGCTTCAATATTTAAGAGAAGCAAAAGACCACAAAGATATTACATCACAGAAAACAAAAACAGAAATCTATAAAATATGACTTTAAAAGGTTCTGCATACCATATGGCAGACAGTTTAGTATACAGGATAGAAATAGATAGATAGGTAAATAGGCAGTAATGACGCCCATTGGTTGATTTCAATAAAGAATAAAAGAGTAAATGACTTACAAAGGAAACTGAAGAAACAATTCGACAAAATGATGGCAAGATATTTTCTCACTGATACTATTACTATTGTTACTGACACCGCTTACTGTACGCCAATAGCATACAAGAAAGCACTACGAATGCCATATAATGAAAACAATGTTTCTGTATTGATAATAATGAGTGGTGCATAAAATGCACACACATAAATCCTCTGGTTGTTTTCACCAAACAATTAGAGTTAGAGAATCGAAACAATTGTAAGTAGACACCTGATTGTAATAATAATGATCTAGATAAACAAACAGACATTGATAGCATTATCAGTCAGAAAATTAAGGAAAATAGATGTAGACACTTGGTAAATTTGTAGACAAAAATTTGTCTAAACTTAAAAGGTCTATAACTAAAAAATACATATCAGTTCAACTGACCAACGAAAACGCCCACACCTATCATTATATTAATGAATGAACATTTGTTAGAACTGAAATAAACAGCACAACACAATAGAACGACTTACTTCTTTACATCTATTGAATTTCATAAGCTATGATGAAATTTTCTATTGTCTTTGTAAGAAATTCCTCATCTCTACGTGTTTAGGCATAATTATCGTCAATATCGATACTTTTATAAAAAAAATAATCGGACAAAAGTTGAGATTTGATGAAGAACGCGAAAAGCATACACACAAAAATAGTGCTCAGTAAAGCTATACACAAATTTGGAAGATATGTTACATAAATATGTAACATGAGAAAATGGAACGACAGTTTAAATGAGAAAAACACAGAGAAAACGTTTACATCGAAAGCGAACAGGAATTAGTAAAATACACTGTGTATCAATGTTTGTGTACACACGAACGAAAAATTCAATTTAAATTATTAATTATGACAACTTGGAGGTGTAATGCATCGAGTATCATCTTCTTCATCAGCATCTTCTAAATCTAATGGTTTTTGAATATCTTTATCACTAATCGAATAAGTTGAAAATCGCTTCGCTGACGAAGAAATTCGATTATTGTCAGTAGACAACGAAGGGATTGTATGATAATAGTATGAATTTTGTTGCGGACTTACAGCAGCTGGATAAGTTGGCTTTAGAAAATGATCACTGTTTAAAGATGATGTTGTTGGCGTAGAAGGGGAGTTTGAAGTATGAACTGAATGTGCCTCTGAGGTGTTTACAGTACTGATTGGAGAGCAACAACGACCAGAACAATTACGTAAGCTACTCACATGATTATTATTGTGCAATGAAGTTGATGCTAACCGACTACTTGATGTAGAAGTAGAATCAGTTGAACAAGGACTAATTAATGTTTGGCCACATTCTCGACAAACCCGTGAAACTGGATGCCCACCCACACCAGCAGCAACAGCAACAGCAAATGCATGACCGGGGCCATACAGTGACGAAGATGTATTGCCACCAGATGTCCACGGAGCAGGAACAGGGGGTTGAAATGGAGATGTGCAATCCGAAATGGTCCTTAGGCGAGTGGAACGACTAGCTTCATTAAACAGTCTATTAAAAATAAAGGCAAATATTATCATTATATTTTGATAACTGGTCAAGAGCTACGCAGTAAACAAATAAAATATCAAAATTAATATACATCAATGATTTAGATGGTGAAACCTCATTCATTAAACACATTATCTTTAGTCGATTTAGCCTGAATCTACAAAACCACTGATATCATCAACAAAATTTGCCTGTATAACATAATGATTACAGTAGGCTAGCGAAAAGTCACTAAGTAATTTACGTACTGTTCAGAGCATGTAAGTTACACATTTACAGAAGTTGTAAAACCTTATATTGTAATCATCTATATTCATATAACCAATGATTAAGATCTTCTTAAATAAACACTAATCAGATTTCCTGATGAAATTAACTCTTGAAATTTAATATATATATATAGCTTGATAAAAGATTTGTAGGCAAGATATTTCTTCACTGAATTCCACATTTCTAATATTTTAATGGGCAATATAAAAATACAAACATATAACTATTGAACGGTACCTTTCATCTTCCATTTCCAAGCTTGATTCACTCTCACTCAATTGTCTAGACAATGCCTCACGTCTTTCTTTCTCAACCTGAAGCAATTTCCTCAAACGCCGGTTTTCCTCAGCGACCGATTTTTCTTCCGATTCATACTGAGGCATCTTAGAGGCAGACTCCGCTTCATAACGCTGAAGTAATTTACGTAGACGACAAACTTCATCACGTAATCGATTGACGTACGATGTGGAGATCATATGAGTAGAAGTGCTAAGAACGACATCTGATGGCTGATTAGTAGGAAGATCTTGAGAAACAGCCACTTTATGCACAGCGCAAGGTGTTGAAGGACTCTTTAAAGAATGTGAGTGACTTGGAGTAGTTGGGAGTGATTGCAAGCCAACACTTCCACATGGACTAGTTGCACCACTTGCGTTAGGATCTATAAGCAAAACATTTTTAAAACAAACACGATAAGAACAACCGATGATCTAATCAAGTATAAGAAGTATCAATGTATCCAAGTAACAAATTTATCGAACCAATGCAATATTGCATGATTATATGTTATCTTAATCAAATTTGCCAAATTAACTGAGAAATAAGACGCTAAGGTCATTATCATCCTACGATGAATATTGATCATAAAAATACACACCACTAAACAATAAATCAGTTAGAGAAACTACGTGTTTTAAATTTCTGTTAAATATTTTTCCAATGGGAAAATATATAAGACACGCTCTACATTGGACAAAAAATAAATATTTAAAAAAGAGGACTGAAAGGAAACAAAATTGAAGTGTAATGAAGTTTAAGTCAAGAGCTTTAAATTCAGCAATTATAAGTCATTGTAGTAATGATAAAACTTGTATTATTTTGTGGGTATCAGTGCCAAGGTTGAACTTGATAGGTGGGAAGTAAATAATAATTATTACAGTTTTTGGTGATATCTTATTTTTATTCGTTTAAAGACGTGTAATTCATGCTAGGATTATATGACTAGTTAGCTACATAATGCAGCAGAAACCCGCCACAAGAATGTTTTGATAAGCAAAGAGTAGGCTTGTAGATACCATTTAATCTAATGATAATTTATATAGAATATTGATACCAGAAGCAGAATAATTTAAAAAAAACTAGTGTTCTTTTGATTCAGTTATGGAGAATTCTACACTTTCCGATGTCATGTCTTGAGACAAGCAAGATATGATTACAGTAATAGTGGCAGAGCGACAGGCCTAGTGTAGTTCGTTTTTATGCATATTTTCATGTTTGGGAGGTGAGGTTATCCAATAGCCTAAACTATAACAGGTGCAGTTGAAACTCGAAACTGGAGCTCAGTGATTGAGAGCCGAATGCTTTGGCATTTAATTAAAACTCCACCACTAACTAACTACATTTGAATAAGGTCATATAACCAGGAAACGATTAGTCTAAAACTAATAATAGTCCACACTGATTAAAAAACGCCGCAGAGTTTATTTGAAGTTTCTAAGGAATATTATATGGAAATAACTGTGCTGAATATACTGAATAACACAAAAATCAAAGTACAAAAAATTTATACATAAATTAACACGAATGGAAATATTTGCAGCTAAATAAAATGTTGATTTAATAATTTATGAGTAAGATATTGATTAAGATATATCAGTATCAAGCTAAATCATCGAATTTGATAAGAAATTTCAAGATAAATATATACTTAGCCGTTTCCACGGTTTCTGTGTTTCACAGGTTATTGATATTTATGACCGAATTCGATTAGTCTTTGATGTCTAATGGTTCTGTTGAACTGATGGATTGAGATTGCATTTAGTTAGTCAGTCAGTTATAAATAACACAGGACCTGGGGCATATGTGCATCGGTTTAAGTCCCCACACAGTATCAGGAGACCGAGATTAAATTAGTGAAACAAACAGCAGGGCAGTAGCAGTAATAGTAATACCTGTAGTGGAAGGAATTAAGCATAAACAATATAATCCAGTAAGAAGGAATTCGTAGAATAAGTATAAACTAATTTTAAAACTCAATATTTAGAGAAAAAATAGATATGTACCACTGAGAACTATTCTGAGTCCCATTACCCAATATTCCCAACCATTAGTTACGATAATCACCCGAATCCGAATCAGATAGTCTGTACTTTTCCTAATAAACTGTCGCTACCTACAGTTAGAAGTTCACTTTATTCTTGAATAATCGCTAGCAGTGGAATCTATAGCAAACGTTTTATTTTGTTTTCGACTTGTCAGATGATGAGTGAGCTGAATTCGGTTTGACGTAAAATATCTTCAAATAATAATTACCTAATGCATCGATATCCATTGGGCTTTGAGGTGGTAGTGTAAATGGTGCGCCATTACATTCACAGATATTAGATTTTGAAGATACATCGTTGGGGATCGTGGAACACTGGCTTGACTGGGGAGCTTTTTCTTCACTTCCGGATGAAGTAGATATTCTACCAGGAGAAACGGGACATGGAGCAGCAGAAAGAGAAGTACCAATTGAACAAGATGTAGTATGCGGTGGATGATTGTGCTGTCTGAAAGAACTACGAAGACTACCGGGTCCGCTACTGATAGGACGGGGGACTGCTAAACTGTTATGTATGCCATCTGAAATACTGCCAAGGTTTTGGCTACTTGAAAGGCTTGGCAGCGGGGCACCAACAGATTCTAATTTCTCCTGGAAGAATAGAAACATGATTCTACTGAGTAATATTTAAAATAACAAGACAGGTTTTTCATCGACCGATCATATGCAAGCATTCAAACATGACGGGCTATTTTTAAAATACTATGTGTCGACTTCACTCCATGAAGCAATTATATATATATATATATATCGTGTATTATCATTAAAGAAAAATCATTTGTACCTCGGCAAACAAGTACAGGCTTACATACAAAGTTTTTAGTCAGTTTTAATTTGATGGGAAACGACACCATCTGACTCCGTATAATGAAGTCAATGAAGTAGGATTTAAACTTGTAACCTATTGGTTTAAGGTTAATAGCATTAATCACTTGATCGCCGCTTCACATTGGAGATTTTAGTCACTTTGAGGTATCCATTGACCTATACACGGTTTGATATATAGCATTGTAAACAACGTTGATAACTGCAAGTGTCACAATGAGCTTGAACATATTTTCTTGTTAAGACTGAAAGTAGTAGCACGGGTGTGAAGTACTTTATGATATTTATAATCTGAAAAAACAAGTGGAGAGAAGAAAATGTTGGAACTAAGCATGGATTAATCGAATTCAGTAACTTCATATCTTATCTGAATCTGTGAAAGTTATGCTAGTTTATTTAATTATCACAGACTATTATCGTTGAATAATCGATAGAAAGAAGGAAGCTTAACTGTTAAGCTTTAAAATTCACACATAAAATACCCACAGAACGGAATTTCTGAGTCGAAAACCATATAACAAAACAGGTAGGCGCCACTTCGCATCAGTAAAACTAGGAATCTAAATTAGCAGAAACTGTCCGAAGACATCGATAACATAAAAAACGTTTGAGTAAAAATAATAATGTAATCGATGACTTTTCAGAGTTATTAGGGTATTCAGGCGATGCTTATTTCACCCACGTTTTCACGAGGCTAAAATGAGAAATAATAATATAGTTATGTAGCAACAGTAATACGAGAAGGAGATAGGTTACATGTAAAATAACAAGGACTAGAATAAAAAGGACTTCATGAAACTATGTAATACTTGGGAGCAAAGGGTATAATAATAAATGAAAACATGGCAAATAATTAAATATATAAATATGAATCAGACAAAAAGTTCATCATTAGTTGTAATAACAACCATCTCATTTGATAGAGGATAGAAATTTCTTTCCGAAACAAAAGTGTAAACTACTGAGTTGTTCACAAGGGATTTAATGAAAGCATTCAGCATTCAACAGAATAAGATATAATTATACAATTTGCATACTAACTCGTAAAATCTTCTTTTCAGATTCAAGCTTTTCCATCTTTTTCCATAATCTGTTCACTAAAGCTTCTTGCTCCTGTTCAAGTGCATTCTCTAATTCAATTTTCTCTCTGCGTAAACGATCCAAACAATCTTGTTTGTGATTCATATCCGTTTCTAATTTCTCAATTCTTCTCATTAACTTGCTCACCTAGAGGAAGAGATTGAATGTTTTTAAACTATACCACTAACGAACATGGTTTTGATACAATCAAATAACGAAATAGTAAATTCATTTGTTCGAAATTAGGATACTCTCGCTTTTAAGCACAAAAGCCGTCGTCTTTAGAAATTGATACTGAGTAAACGACTATAAGAAAATGCATAAACAGAAGTACTATAACTCACATACGTAATACAGGTTTATGTTTTCTGAGGCAAAAGTGTGACGGCTAGTGACAGCAACTATCTATCCAATGCGAAGTACGTGATCTACCCGTCGAAAAGTTTATGCCTTAACCACTAAGCTACAAATCATCGATTCAGCACGATAAAAGTGCTTCGATGTGTCCTAGAACATCTCTCTACACGTTTTGATGAGATTAGCATAACACTTTTAGGACATCATAAGTAATTATTAGATTCACAAATTAGAAAAAAATAAGACATTTTCCGCAATTTCTAGCTGCTCGTACATACTCATCTGTTAACACTTAGTGATGCATACTAGGAGTCGCAACCAAAGCAAGACTCGAGTTTTTAGTGGGATGCTTTCTACGCTACTATACAGAATGAATACAGTAATAAATAGGTTAGCATACAAAATTACGAAGCAAGGAAAGAGGATAATCAATGTTTTCCGGAACTACTGAAACGTGATCTAAAACATTTCAACCAATACTGATACCAGAGGAAACTTGATCGTAATATATTAGTTAAAAGAAACTCCCTATGATTTTGTATATTAAATCCCCAGAGAAAGATGTCAAAAACCATTTACACTGACAAAACTTACCTGATTTTCTTGTTCACGTGCCAAAGTACGCTCCAGAGCAACTTTTTCTTGTCTAAGTTGTGTGAACTTACGATTAAGTTCATTAGTAAGACATTCTTCTTCCTGTTCGTAATTTAATGCTAGCGATTCTTTCTCTTTCTTTAATTCAGTGATCTTTTTCAACAAAGTATTACTGATATACTCTTCTTCTTGTTCTGCTTTTGCTTGCTATAAAACAATTAAACATGATAGTTACGGGACTTACTATACTAACACTATTACGCCGCAGTTGCTGATTTAAGTCGTTCAAACCTTTGATTTTTAGTTTCAAAGTTTCAACCTCAGTTTTTAAAACTCGATTTTCTTGCTGTAAAGAATCGATACGTCGTAAAATCTGTTCATTTGTAACCAATGAGTCTTTGGTTCCATCAACGGAACTCGCATCAGATTCCAGTTCTAATTCGGAAGCGCTATCTGCCATTACTAAGAAAAATAAACAGTGTCAAAGAAAAATGCAGTATATACAGGAATTACAGAATAGATTTTGCTTTTACAAAACTCGTCAGATAAAATAGTTTTTGCGCTAAACGACATACAACGGTGAGTATTAAATCTAAAAGAGGAGATGATAATAACTTTCAGGAGTGACTGAACGTTCTATTTCACCTTGATGTTCAAGTTTAATATTTAGCAGGAACAGATGGATTGATTGCTAGTGATAACTGACAATTTGAACCGTGAAAAACTGATGGAGTACATCCCAATGTACATAAAACTATTTTTTGCTTCAATTGATAAACCACCTAACAGATCGTAAATGTTGAGTCCAGATTTATTCGAAGCATTTTGATTTCCTAAAATACTATTTATCAAAGGCCCAAACTCAAATCAGCTATTTTGAAATCAAGTACAATTTCTGTCTGCAGGTCAGCGACTTGTAATACAACTATAGAACTGCAATAATCTGATTTGGCTAATAATGAAGTTAAATCAAACAAAAGAAACGCATCTATGTTATTCGGTCAGTCAGCTACATTGTAGAACTTCGTACGTACGTACGTACGTAAGTTCAAGTTGCCATACCACACTAGCATAGAGACGCAATTGTCAATCTGAATTTATCCTGACAATCTGTGAACTAGAAAACATTTATACTTGGACATCGTGGTACCGCAGAAAAAGAACAGTTTGTATTTCTCAAAATGAAGTCAAACAACTGGAAATCTCTTTTAGGAAAGCATTGCTTACTACCAGGTTCCCACAAAAACGAGGGTGAAAATAAATATTTGGTGCTTGAACGGCGTATATATAGATACAGAAGTTCAGGCCAAATATTGAAAGGTAATCCTCTGAAAAATCACATTTTGTTTGAACGGTTGAGTAGTACAACAGACCTTGAACAAAATACGACAAACTGAAATGAAGAACACAAACAGTTCGAAAGCAATCTGGGAGTTTGATAGTCAGTCAGTCAGCTACGACGTAGAACATCGTGCGTATGCACGTTTCACGGAACCACAACTGGTAGACTACATATACCAGCAAGACTTAGCTCATTTGTCAGTGACTTCATGGATTTATGCCATGTTCTGGTTTGGCCGCCCTTAGCTTTCTTCCAACCTACTCCTACACCACAAAAAATCGCTCGTCGAGGCAGTCGGTGGTTGGGTAAACGTAACACATATCCCAACCTCCTCAAATGATTTGCCATCCCCACCTAGTAGTCGTTTCCTAACGACAACAATGCTTACTCGGTTGTCCCAGGATACACGAACAATGCTTCTAATACACCTATGATCGAATACAAGTAACCTGATAATATCCAAGTAGTTTTCACTCCCATAGAGTAGGACGGAGCGAAGTGCTACGTAGTAAACTTGTCCTTTGGTCAGCAACCGGATATCTCGCCAACACTATAAGTGACGCGAGTTGACAAAAGCCAGTAGAACCTTTTGTATTCGTGCTAACATTTCATCACACACCAGGCCATCAGCATTTGTGGGACTCCCACGATAAGTGAAGCGGGCAACACGCTCAACTACTTCACTCCCTATCACTAGTTCAGGTGCCACCGTAAGCCGATCCTGAAGCAACATTTTGCATTTCGAAGGGGAAAACCGCATTCCCAACATGCTTGCATTGTTGCTTAGGGTAGTCAGGAGACTCCGCATTTTATCAGCGTCTTTATCAAGCAGAACTTTGTTATCGGCATATTCTAAGTCGAAAAGCGAATCGCCCGGTAAAAGTTCAACTCCTGAAAAGTCATGTCTGTGATAAAGTTGGATAAAAATGGGAAAAGTGGGCAACCCTGACGAACACCACTAGAAGTAATCAATTCAGACCAGTAGTGTTCGAATAGAGAGCTTGTGTAAGGTTAACGTACTTCTTAGGCACACCTTTTCATGACAGACACTGACACGGAACCTCACGATCGACAGAGATAAATACCGCTTTGAGATCCAGGAAGATAACTATTGTCAGACGCCGAAATGAGTCTGTGTTCTAGTACTTGTCGTAGTGTGAATATGTCGTTTATACAGCAACGTCCAGATCTGAAACCAGCCTGGTTTTCTCGAGTCTGCTCATCACGAGCTCTAATCAGACGTCGAAGTATCATCAAGATCAACATTTTAGGCACTGATCGTGCTGTAATTGTCACAAGATGATTTTTCATTTTTATAGACTGGGACTATCAGTGATCGAGACCAGTCAGATGGAATTATGTTCAGTTCTCAGATCGCAGTCAATCTCACTGCTAAAACTGAACTACCATCCTTAAAAATCTCAGGTGTTAACCAGGGTCAGGGTCCGCTCTGCCGCTGCTCTTCCTCGCTTTAGATTTCCTAAAGTCTTTTCAACTTCAATAAGAGTTGAAGGATTTACATTAATTCGCCATCCCGGTTGATTGGAGATCTTGGGTAAACAAAGTGTGGCTGAAAACCAGTTGAAATGATCCCTGAAGTTTTATTCCCATCGATCGAATCTCCTGGATTGAGAGTGAATAACAGTCCAATCTTTTTCGGAGATAGTCTCATTAACAGTCAGATTTCTGATACCAGTTTTTGATAAGTCTGAGTAGTCATCTGCTGTTACCTAATGCCACCGCCTTTTCCATCTCCCTCGTTTTTGCTAACCACCACTGTTACCGGTAAATGTGTAAGCCTTTGATCGGCCTGCGCCTCAGCTGCTTTTGCTCCTTATCGTGTTTCACAGCTTTTTAGATATCATTCCAAGCTGCCTCAAGGTAGGCATCACATGCATCTCTGCCTAACTGTTCTTCTAGTTGTCCCTGAAATGTATACTCAGCTTTGCTATCCTCAAACATAACTCTGAGGGATTTCGTTGCTGATTCTTTCTTACAACTAGTAAGCAGCAGACAAACATGCGCCACCAGCCAGTATTATTACATTAGAGGGCCTAATGTTTTGAAGGTTGGAAAGCTTTCTGTAAAATTTATCTTTTACGTCACCTGAGCTGCAGTCAGTGGGAGCGTGGGCAGAGACGACAAAGAGGCAACGGTAAATGTTCGTTTTTTCTGAGTTCTTACTGCCCCGTTTAGACGAACGGCACAAAAACGAATATCTACCGGGATCCAGTCAAAGAGAGCTAGTTCAGCCTCAGGACTCAATAAAATACCTATATCGGCGAGGATACAGGAGACAGCAGTGAGACTTCCAGATACACGACGTATAAATCGAGACGGTTCTTCGTTTTCACATGGTGAGGTCGAATGAATGACGCTAATCGGGTCCGGTACGCGCGTTTCGAGGACGTAGCATACATAGACGGCAGGAGGTTCTAAAGTCCTAGCTAAAGAAACCTGTTGTTTTATTTGGCATTAGTTTCGAACATTAAAGGCTCCAACATGTAGTTTAGAGCGTGGTAGCGGCGACCAGGAATAATGCTTCGTATACTCAAACCGTTAGTATTAGGGGCGAGAGATGATAAAGGAACGTGAGTCGAGTGTTGTCACATATATGCGGGTGGAGCTCACTTCCCTGCTACCCACAACGTAAAAGGGTTTTCCTTGAAGATCCTGAAAATGAAACCGGATTACCGTTGGTTTTAGAGACCTGGGAGCTCAAGCGACAACTGCTTGAGGCCAGTCACGCTCCGCCTTTTCATGGATTTTGAAGTGTTAGCTCCGCTCTTCCAATAGCCTTACTGCCAGAGATCGAGAACCGTGGGGTAAGGTGAGGTGTGAAATTTTTAGGGTCAACCTTTAATAATCCCTCCCTTCCATGTAAGAAGACAGCATCGCTGCAGAAGCTGGTTGTCTGAGAGAAAAACCTTACTGTTGCCAACCCTCTACATTTAGCAATACGAATTCGCCCACAGGTCCATGAGTTGTTTCTTTACGGTAGGACCTAATGAAATGTATATTCTATCCAGTACTACCGAAAAAACCATAAATAAACGCGTTTTCTGTAAAAAAAAAAAGTTAACATTCAAAACAGCTCCTCTTCTTACTCTGCAGCTTTTTTCTACTAGGACGGACTAAAGTCCAAGAGTATTTGGAAAACTCCGCCTGAGGCCTCGCTGGGGCTACTGCACGTCCCAAGGCCGAATAAAGAGGCGGGTTGAGTACAGAGTTACCGACCCCATCCACTAGAAAACTAACTCGCTGGAATAAATACTAACCAGAAAAATCAATTCAAACCATTTAAACTCTACCCTGAGAGTTAGAAGGTCTTCATTTAGAATAGTTACGAAATCTCATGGTGAGCACCGAGTTCCTTCGGAAGTCACGAGTCTGATGACCCTTCTCACAACAATCGAATCTTCGTACAAAGTGGGAGACCGGCAGAATCATCCGAGTTGCTGCAGAAATCATAAGATACAACCTAGTGATAGCAACAGTATTTTGAGCCATGTCGCTCAAAATCGTTTGCGATGGAGCAGGTGTATCCACTCTTAGTGTTCTCTCAAATTCTAACCTTCTGAATTCCTCATCATCTCTATCTTTTGCTTTCTAATCTCGAACTATATCTTCGAACCCTAATCTTCTGCATTACTGCTACCACTATGGGATTTGAACTGAAAATTCCATCTCTGTGCTAGTGTGGCATGGAAACTTGAAGTGATGCATATACATACTAAGTTCTGCGTTGTGATTGACAGACAGATATAACGCAGAACTTCGTACATAAGTACATCAGTTCAGATTGCCGTACCACATCAGCACATAGACGCAACTGTCAGTTCCAATCCACGAGCGATAGTGATAGTAGAATTACTAGCAGCAGATTAGAGAGCGAAGATATGATTCGAAAAGTATGATTCAGTGAGATAAATTTAGGGGAAAGAGATTATGAGGAATTAGGAAGGTTAGAATCAAAAAGCACACAGAGTGGATACACCTGTGCCATTCCAAACGATTCTGAGCCATGGCGTTCAAGGTCTCCAATCAATGGTGACTTTCGTCTCGCGGAACCCAACTAGAAGGCCTACATCTACCAACATGACTCAGTCCACTGGTCAGTGACTTCATGGATTTGTGCCATGTTTTGGTCTGGCCGCCCCTAACTTTCTTCCAACTTATTCCTACACCCCAAAACATAGCTCGTCGAGGCAGTCGGTGGTTAGGCATACGTAACACATGTCCCAACCACCTCAACTGATGAAGTTTCAATGCTTCATCTATTGATTTGCCAACCCTACCTAGAACCCGTTCCCTAACGATAGCATTGCATACTCGGTCGTCCCAGGATACACGAGCAATGCTTCTAAGATACCTATGGTAGAAGACTAGTAACTTACGAATGTTCTCTACTCTTAACGGCCATGTTTCGCATCCATATAGTAGGACAGAGCGAACTGCTGCGCAGTACACTCGTCCTTTAGTTAGCAAACGGATATCTCGCCTGCGCCATAAGTGACGCAGATTGGCAAAAGCCAATCGAGCCTTCAGTATCCAAGCTGAGATTTCGTCAGTCACCAGGCTATCAGCGCTGAAGCGGTCTAGATGTTCGACTACTTCACTCCCTATCACTAGTTCAGGTGCCGATGAAACCCAATTCTGAAGCAACATTTTGCATTTCGAAGGGGAAAACCGCATTCCCAACATGCTTGCATTGTTGCTTAGGGTAGTCAGAAAACTCTGCACTTTGTCAGCGTCTTCACCAAGTAGGACTATGTCATCGGCATATTCTAAGTCGATAAGCG